GTTAGGTGCGAGAACGTTCTGTCGGCTCGCCTTCCGTGCCTTCTTGTGCGGAAGTGCGCGGGAAGCTGCCTTGTGAACGTCGATGAGCGTGGTGCGGGGGTCTGAAGTGCGCGACAGAGATATGGGCCGCTCGTCCATGAATGGAGCGGGCCTTGTGTCGAGATTTGACCCGGGGAACGTTACTGGGACGACGCCAGTGTGCGGAGGCAAGATGGGGTGCGTGGGTATCGGGAGCGCACGCGAAGTCGCGGACAAGGTGGGAGCGATGATGGTGAAGTCAGCTGGTGAAGGGTGAGGTGCGAGGGAGGTAGGTGAGCCCACGAGAATGGGAGAGCTGGAGGACGTCAGTGAATGCGTGCGTGCCGCAACATGAGACGCACAACAATGACCAAGGCGCTAGGGATGCTAGCGCAGCGTCAACGGGACAAGAAGTGAGCCTGGCGTCAAGTTGTGGTCGCGCAGGAGTGGATGCGAGACGGAAGGGTACAGGCAAGTTGCGACTCATCAGCGGGAGCAAGAGACGTGAAATGAATGATGCACGGAAAGTACAAGTCATTAAGGAAATCTGTGTTGGCAGGCAGATTGGGTACGACGAGAGAGGGCGCACGAGGCGAGGCAGATGCAGCGGGAAGCAAGAAGGACCTGCATCAGGTCAGCGGGGTGAAAGAGAAGAGACAGAGTGCGGAGTACGATGTACGAGACGGCACGTGTGAAAACGGAGACAGATCGGGCCGCAGGCCGCACTTGGGCGGTGAATGGGACGAATGAATGTGAGGGATAAGAGAGGCAGCGAGAGTGAGGAGCGGGTCTCCAAAGGCGAGAGCGACCACGTCCTGCTCAAACTGCGTTGGAGAGCTCATCTATAAAAACGAGGGTGAGCTCGGCGGGTAGCCGGAAGCTGCGTGCGAGACGATCGCGTTGAAGTGTGGGGCGCAGACTCGCCGCGAGAGGGAGCATCAGCGAGGTTGTCGTCGGTGGGAACGTAGACAATCTTAGGCGTAATTGAGAGACCCGCGGAGATCACGTAAGTACAGCATACACACAAATTGATGCCCACATTTGGCGAGCGCCCCTTTGTGTGTGCACTGATCGCGCCCTTGTTGTCAGAACGCACGAGTAGGTGCATGTTGTGGATGTCGAGCTGGTCCAAGAACATGAACAGCAGCTCAATAGCGACAGCCTCCAGCCAACAGATGTCGTGCCCGGGAAGCAGCGCCTTCCAGTCCGTTTTAAGAGGGATCGCGTACCAGCGGGTGCCAATGACAATCCCGATGCCCCAGGAAGTGCTGGCGTCGACGTAGATCCCGAGGTCGCGTAGAGGGCCAATTGGGGCGAGCTGGCGGAAGAAGAAGGCGTCGTTGAGCTTCTTCTCCCACCATAGAAGCGTCTTCAACGCAGTGTTTGACAGGTGACGGCAGGTGAGTGAATTTCCCTTGAAACCCAACATTGCGTTTGAGAAAACTGCGACGCGTGAGCGGCCCTCTCTGTATAAGAAGCAGAGATGACATAGGGCGCCGTGAAGCTCCTGTATGGTGAGGAGAGAAAAAGCAAGATTGGCATGCATGGTCATAAGCATGTCGCGCATGCGTGCGAGGTATTTTTAACGTTTCTCCTCCGGTAAAGAAACACGGCGGTGACGTAGGTCCCAGAGGAGACCGAGAAAGACAATGAACTCTCTGAAAGCCATGCCAGTCTTGACCGGATGCCACGGGCAGCAAAGAGAGTCGACCGGCACCAGTATGGTGGTATGGTCGTATTTGAAAACGAACGTTCCGTCGTGAAAAGTAAGGGAGGGATCGGGTATGCGGATGACTGGGGCATCGTCCTCGTACTTGAGAATGACGGCGTGATCTCCAGTCTCGGCCTTCCAGATATCAACAAGTGCGTTGCAAATCTGGCCGGCGTTACTGCTTGCAGAAGATGCTCCGAATGGGTGGCAGTGGTCCAGGTAGAGCGCACCATCGAAATGTACGATGAGGAAGGGCTTATGGGCCACGAGGACGGGACACGTCCGGTGAAAAGACTTGATATCAAATGCACAGGCCTCCGCGCCGGCGGGAAGGGATGCGACCTGATGTGAGAGCGTCTGAACGACGAGATTGAAAGCGCGAAGCGCATGAAGAGAAGGAGTGATGTCGTGCCAGGAAGGACGCCGTGCTGTGCAGCAGGAGAGCGTTATGACGTGTGAAAGGAGAACACGTGCAAGCAAGCACGGTATGTCACCGCGCGTCGGCGACAGAGGGCTGAAGCGCGTGGGAGGAGAAGGCACCATAGTGTGCGAAGAAGAAACCATCATCGCGCATTGTAAGATGGAAGCGGTGGCATTTGTAGAGGACCGCAGCCGAAGCTTTGGCATAAAAGAGGTGTGGCCCCGAAGAGAGAAAGGGGAAAGGGGAAAAAGAAAAGAAGGAATGAAGACTCACCACTTCAGCCATCTTAGGAGCCATGTCGAAGCGGGTGGGAAAGTCGAGCTTGTCAATAAAGTTGTTCACCGCTGGGGTGCCGGAAGAGGGATCACCCATCGAGAGATCTCGGCAGACGCATTTCTTGGGATCGAGACCGGGGCCTTGGTCGTTGTATGAGACAAGCAGGGGGGATGCATAGAATGGCCTGCGGCAGACACATTCCATTTACGCGTGGGAGAAAGGACCCTCCATCCGTCCCAGCGCGAGCTCCGTGCGGATGTAATCGCGAGTGACTTCACGGTCCACCTCAGCAGAAAGGTGATTGGGTATGATGATGGAGGACGAGAGGAGCGGCATGCGACCGAGAGGAAATCCTTGACGAAGATTGCGTACCAGATCAGGGTAAGAGGCCGAAAGGCTGTGTTTTTCAAGAAGACGATGGAAAGTATCGGCGTCATATGGTTGGACGACTCGATCTAGTATGTGGGACAAAGCATCAGGAGCACCCGGTAGCAGTGGGCGAGGATGCACAAAAGGCAGTAAATCTGTGTAAGCAAGCGTAGTTTGTTGGGCAGCCAATTGCTCAAGAAGAGGAGAAGGAGCGTTAACGAGCTCAGGGTACGAAAACCCCGGCTCTGACGCGAGTGCAGCTGGCATCGCAGGAGAGTGCGGTGTGATCACCGCCGCAGAGAGAGCAGGCGTGGATACGGCTGTCTCCGTGTGCGGCCGAGCACGCTTTGCTGACGTTGAACGAGATGCAGAGTGACTGAGGCTGGGTCCCCCGAAAAGCTGCTGAGTCAGGAGATCCCGGCCGACAAGTTTAGCGAAATGGGCCTTGCCATCCTGGAAAGTGGTGGAGCCTTCAGGGTGTTTGTATGCGCTGTGTGGGCCCACACAAATAATGCAGGATGGCGGGGCCCGGTTGTTCACGACGGATCCTTCATGGGAGCCAGGAGTAGAACTCCGGCAGTTGTCAGCGTCACGCATGCGTCCTGTGCGCTTGTTCGCGGGAGCGCCATTGTCGTCTGGGAGGGAGCGTTTGCGACCGGAGGAGGAGGAGCTGCCGGTGGAAGTCGGGGCCGTAGACGGGGCGCCGAGTGAGCGAGTGTGTTTATATGATGTTAGTGCGATGTTTATGCGTTGTTCGTAGAAAAAACGATCATACAAACCGCCACTGAATAATTCGTATCGCATCTCGTGTTCCAGCTGGTACCATACGTGGAACAGTTCCGGATCCTCGAAGCAGCCGAGTTTGGCGAAAAAGATGACATGCTGCGCATATTCGGAGGCATAGGTGTGCCCCAAGACTGGATCGCCGACGACGACAGGTGGGCAGAGTCGCTTGAAGGATTCAAGCATGTTGCGCGAAGCCTGACGCCAAATGCCCGGGGTGAGGCGAGAGATATCCTCGTCGTGCAGCGTACTCATGTTCTTGGCCACATGCACCACGGTGATGGGCAGTGGCTGCGCAGAACCGGGTGTCTGCATTGCTGGGATGGTTGTAGTGGCGACGGTGTGCGGGAAGTCGGTGGCCTGGCGAATAATGCGGTCGCTCCACCAGTGCAGTGGGAAGTAGACCTTGTTAGCGAGGGATACGTGCCCCAAATCAGGAATAGACACCGGGGTGGATAGAGTCGCGGACATGGCATGCGGATTGGGCATAACAAGCGTACCAAAGACTGGGCGAAAGGCCTTGCTCTTCTCTGCCTCGCGTAAGACGCGATCTGCGTCGAGTTTGGCCTTATCTGTCTCTTTTGCCTGCTGCGTGTTCAGGCGTTCGTTCGCGACAAAAAGAGTCATGAAGAGTGGGATCGGACCGCAGGCTGCGACTACGTCTTTGTTGCCGACGAGCAGACGCTTCTGCGCATCGGAGTACACGTAAAAAGGAAGAAGCGGGTATCCGACGTCTTCGGTGGTGACTCTGGCGGTGGACGCGAGGGCTGCTTCGTATGCAAGCGTCAGCCTGATGCTGGCCTTGTTCCCAGCCTCCCTCTGCACATTTTCCGCGTTTATATCGGCCAGATTGTGAGTGTCGGGAGGAGGAACGTCGGCACCGCGCATTTTGTGGCCTGCGAAGTCGAAATTCACGGGAAGAGGCAATGCGAGGCCTGTGCGGGATACAGGAGCCATGGTTGAGTGCGGTGAGGACAAAAAGAAAGGCTTGACGACGATGAAAAGTCGTGAAAAGACTTTTTGAGGATGTGGCGAGAGCAGAGAAAAGATGTGGCTGTGTAGATTAGATGTGTCTAATCTAGGCACAGACGCGCGAGCACAAATCCTAGCTAAGCACTAATTACCTTGCCTTACACTCAGGCCGGCTCGCAGGCTCGCCTTGCCTGAGCTAGCATGAAGGCGAGTGATCACCGCGATCAACGAGGCCTCAATGTACCTGAAGACTAGGTTGTATAAAGGGCATTGATATCGGGTGGATTTCTGCAGACGTAGCAAGCCGCAAAATTGTGCGCAGCGCCTGCACTCGCTCCTGGCGTCATATTCAACCAAGTCAGCTGCAGTCAATCTCAACGCGAAAAAAAGAAAGGAAAAAAAAAACTTCAAGTATTGAGTAAAGTAGAAAAATTGTGCTGTGTCCTATAGTGCCCTCGGGGGGAATTGAACCCCCACCTCCTATTTCAGTGCTAACAATCTGTATAAGAGTGATAGGTGATCACTGATCAACGAGGGCTTATTGCACCTGCACTAGGTGGAAGGACTGTAGTACATTTTCCAAACGGTAATATCACCTGAACTTAAAGTGCCTCCATTTTTTTAATTTACAATCTGGTTTCTGGTGCGAAGCGCAACGATACACAATCAGAGTTCTGCACTCAATTTCAATACAAAGAAACAGAGTACAGTACAAATAAAAAAGACTCGAATCAAGACAATACCCTCGGGAGGAGTCGAACCCCCCGTAGCCCACTTGAAATGACGGAGATCTTGTCTAAGAGTCATGGGCGATCACCGCGATCCACGAGGGCATATCCCCCTTCAATCCAGGCTGGATAAGGGCATATATGTTTTCTGGATAGGCAGAAAGTGACGAGATCATCTCAACATCATCTCAACAGCATTCGCTCCTGGTGTGATATCAACCAAGCCCGAGTCAGCTGCGCAATTTCAGCGGGGGAAAATAAATCAGAGCAAAGTGGAAAAAACTTTACTGGGCGAAGCAAATGCCCTCCGGGGGAGTCGAACCCCCGTTACCCACTTGCAAGTGATTTGCTCAAATGAATACAGAAGGTGGGTGATCACCGCGATCGACCAGGGGTTATCCTACTGCAATCTAGGCTGAATATCTAAGAGCCTTCGCACCGGATGGATCTCCCTCGAGCACTTCAAAACTCCGTGTCTTGGAGCGTCGAAATATTCATACTCTCTACGACCTCCAAAACGCGTAACCACAATATTTCGCTCTGAAAAGCTTACATGAACGCAGAAAAAAGAAAACAGAAATTGCTCATTCGCGCAGTACTCTCCGGGGGGGGGGGCGAACGCCCGCCGCCCATTTACAGTGGTATTCCCGCCAATGAAGGTGGGTGATCGCCATGATCAACGAGGGATTATCTTCCTACAACCGACGTCGAATAAAGGCCATACACTCTGCTGGTTTTCGGCACAGGCAAGCAAGGTGATTTTGCGGCACATCATCATGAATGTGCGTACTGGTTCAAAAAAAATTGAACAACTGCAACGGCCCTGCAATCCAGGATACAGCGGAAAAGGAAGAACCAAAGAAACAAAATTTCTGCAAAGCACGCTATCCCCTCAGAGGGAGTCGAACCCCCGCTACCCACTTGAAAGCTGACTGCTAGATTTCAAGTTATGGGTGATCACCGCAATCGACGAGGGCTTCCCTTGGCTTCAATTCAGGTCGAATGAACGCTATAAATTTCTGTCAGATTTCAGGATGTACAAGCAAGTTAATCTTCCGATCTGTGTCTCATAAGCACCCCTGCTACGCCCGTGGACACCCCATTATCATCCCCCAAGTCAGAGGCCACAAAAAAAAGGTATATTTCAAAATTAGCCTCAAGAACTCAGTCAATGCTCTCGGGACCAAGATGAAGGGCATGCTTGCGGGGGCTCCATCGGAGAAACCGGACTGACTTCCATCCGTACAAGCTGGACATTGCAGTGAAAAGGAGCTGTTCGAGTCTGGAACGTCCCTACAGAAGTGCGCAACAAGCTGGAGCAGCAAATAGCCTCGGCAGAGGAAGGAGGGTGTTGAAGGGGTACGAAATTGTGGGGTCACATGAGGAAGCTAGATGGGGTTTGCACTTTTTTTCCCCACTGTGGGCGAGCAGAGGTGTGTTGTCTTTTCACGTTTCTCGTGCGGTCAAGGTTGAGTAGGCAGGCCATGGGGTATGCAAGTATGGATTGTCCATACCAAATGATACTGGAGAACTACGGTTAATGCCTGTGTGGCTTTGAACACTTATTGTCTTCGCACTGTGACTCGTGCCGGGCATCCTTCACGTTTTATTTCTCTCCCCGTCTCTCTCAATGTACATATACTTTACATTGTCTAGACCCAAAATCCATATCTCATCCATCTGGCCACTGCCCCCTCTCCATCCCCCCACCCCCCTCCCCCCGCATTTCATCAAGTCGTCAACTTTTGATGGAGAATACTTTGTGACCAACAGTGGCAAGAAATTAGTGGAGGATGGCTGATTCCTCGCCTACGATTCTGGCAATATCTCTCACAGTCTGATACTTCACCTCCTTCCAATCCGCAGACTTCTTATTTTTCTCTTGGATTACATTTTTAGCTTTCTCAGGATCACTTCCAGTCATGACAACCATCATATGTCTTGATCACTGTTGGTCCGTCTTTTCATGAGGTTCTGGAACAGTTCTTAGCAAACAGATAATTCACATTTAAATCGGTGATTTAGCGGCAACGGAAAGGGTCCCAACAGGCTGCCCCTTTCTCTGGAATGCTCAAATCAAGCAGCTGAGGTGAGGCCAAAGTTGATTCGAATTTTGCTATCATTTAAATGCTGTCTATTTACACCAATCTTTAGACCATCGTGTGCATTGGCAGTGCATGGGAAGATATCACAGCATCGTGGCATTATAGCTGAGCCCTCTACCGAACACTCAGTTGGAGCCCAGAACATTTTTCCCAGATCTGTCAATATAACTGCTCATTCAATAGTATCATTTGATGTGGTTCCAGATATGAGGATCATATCTTCTATGCGGGAGATGAACAGCAACCAATGAAATCCATGTGCACACAGGATAAATATCTATGTCTCACACACTCATGATCCACCACCAAGATGCCCCCCGGCCTGCTGTCACTCGAATTCGACTCAACAACATGCGGGAGATGAACAGTAGCCAATGAAAGTGAAAGTCCCATGTGCACACAGGATAAATATCTATATGTCTCACACACCCATGATCCACCACCAAGATGCCCCCCCGGCCCACTGTCACTCAAATTCGACTCAACAACATTAAAACGTGTTTGACTATCTCTGCAAATACTCTGGAGATCCTTGCCAGCAGCCTGAAGAGCCCCTTCTTGGCAGCCATCTCTAACACAACTCAGTCTCTGTCGAAAAAAGTGCAGGTACATTACCGCTGAATCTGCCACACCCATGAATCTCAATCAACATGACAGACTGTTAGACAAAATAAGAATGACTGTACCCAATTATTGGAGCAAACTTACGAGTTGCTGAATGCAATTCTGATGGTTCACATCAATTCCGAGACTGGAGCGGAATTGCCACCAAGTGTGTTGACTCACATTGGAAAGTTCACAGAGTATGTTGCTCAACTTGGAAGAACAAAAAAATTCTTTCATATTGATGACTATTGTCAGGACCCTCCAGAAAATCCACACATTTGTTGAAGCTCAACAGAATGGCAGTACACTCAAGAATATCTTCCATCAAGGTGAGATGAGCAAACTGCTCAAGGATTGCAGGACAGGATTGCAACAAGGACTTGAGATTTTCAAGGTATGATATCTGTTTGGTAATTCAACCACTCGTTGAAGGATTTGATATGTAGATCAATCACATAAAGGACATTGCACAGATGCAAGAAGATGCAGAAAAGCGACACAAGGAAGTGCTTGACATGATTGAAGCTCTGTCAGACATGACCAGTTCAGATAGAGCATCCTCTGTATGGGAATTCCAGTCCTCTGAGAAACACAACCAATAAATGTTGCACAGATCAGTGGGCTGTATTCGGGCTCTCATAACAGGTCAGTTTCTGCCTGTCTCTCCATGACATCTATTTTATCTGACATGTATTAAAGCTCCAACTCAATCTCCATGCTACCATCCAAACCCAAGATATTCCATGGACGGGACTTAGAGCTTTTGGATATTCTTCAACTTTTCAGTCAGGGAACACCCAGAATCGCAATTTTGGGTGCAGGTGGAATGGGAAAGACCAGTCTTGCAAGAGTTGTCATCTGTCATACAGAAATTACTCGGAGATATAATCAGCAGCGGTTCTTCATTGCTTGTGAGTCTGCAGCGACCCAAGTAGAACTTGCTGCTCTCATAGGAGCCCATGTTGGGCTGAAGCAAGGAAAAGACCTTACTCGCCCAGTCATTCAATACTTCTCCAGCGGCTCAAGTAGTCTCCTAATTCTCGATAATCTTGAGACATTGTGGGAGCCAGTCGAGTCCCGAGGAAAAATAGAGGAATTTTTGTCACTCCTCACAGATGTGGATCATCTTGCATTGGTGGTAGGTCTCTAGGAATCTTTTCACCCATGCTTTCAACTTACACCAATTAGATCACAATGCGAGGAGCAGAAAGACCTGCTAAAGTGGCATGGACTCATCCATTTCTGCCACTGTTGAAGCCCTTGGAACAAGTGGCAGCACGACAAACATTTATAGATATTGCAGACACCACACATGATCCAAATGAGGTTGATAAGGTCCTCTTGCTGACAGACAATATGCCTCTTGCAATCAGTCTCATAGCTCATTTGGTGGACTCTGAGGGCTGCTCTCATGTATTATCCCACTGGGAGGAGGAGAAAACATCCTTGATCTCAGATGGATATGACAGAACATCCAACTTGGACTTGTCAATTTCACTGTCCTTGTCAAGTCCTAGACTCAATCCCTTCCCACATTCAAAAGATCTCCTGAGCCTCCTGTCAATGTTCCCTGATGGTCTTTCAGATGTTGAGCTTGTGCAGAGCAAGCTTCCACTTGATAATATCCTGGGCTGCAAAGCAGCATTGATTCGTACCAGCTTGGCCTACAGTGATGAACACAATCGGCTAAAAGCATTGGTCCCTATCAGAGAGTATATGCAGAAGATCCAGCCACCTGGAGATCACCTCATTCACCCTCTTCTCACACATTTCCAGGAATTACTTGAGTTTTTCATGGAATACCAAGGAAATCAATCAAATTCTAGCACAGTTGTTCGAGTATCATCAAACTACTCAAATATACAGAACATCCTTCAGAATGGGTTGCAACAAGGTCATCCAGACCTGGTGAACAGCATTTATTGCATATGCTATCTGAATAGTTTCAGCATACACATTGGGCAAGGAGCTATTTCTTTGATTCAAGAGATTCAAAATGTCCTCCCACACCCACGTAACCATCGCCTTGAGACATACTTTGTTATTGAGTGCTTCAACTCATTGATGTATTCAATTTCCAATCTGGAGACCCTAACTGA